CGGGTCGAACCCGAAAAATTTACAGGTGCTTTGTACAAAGCCCCGCAGGTTGTCTACGCGCGCGGAAGACCAGGCGTTGTTGTTGGGCTTGCGGAGCCCCCAGACAACATGAAGTTTAGCCGTTTGTCAGGACAGACAGCCCAGTCTCGTCACAGGACAGTCTCGTCACAGGACAGTCTGGGTCGAGACGAGGACAGCCTGAACTTGATATTTTCTTCCAATAGACCGTAAACTCCGTGTTACATATCTGGCAAACGAGACCAATTAACTAAAACTGTACCAGTTGCCACAGCTTGTCTAGTTTCGAGACTGGTGACTACAGATCATCCTAAAGTGCCATCTTTTAGAGTTTTATCCGTTTTTTGGGGGGGGCTGGTGAGGCTGGCCAGTCTACAGCCAGATACTAATACTAGGCAGCCTGGCCTCGAGTTAAAAGGATTGTGCTGTGTAAACTTCGTGCTGTCTAACGAGACCAGATTGTAGCCTCGAGTCCCTGTTTGCGTTGCATTTTACCACCGCAACACAGAAAAGCTCGCCTCGCCAACACCACTACGTAGTACAAAAGTATATTCGGTATGCCAGTGTGTACTTACCTAAGTACCTGGTATCTCTCATTTGAGAGTCGCCTCTCCGTAAACTTTTCTCCACCATCCCGTATCCACCAATCTCCCTCCATCGGATTCCTCTCTCCATCATTATCATCGTCATCACCATGTATGTTTTATAAAGCTTCTGTAAAGACTGCTCCTATAAACAGTACTTAAAGCTAACAAACCGTACTCTGCAATATAGTACACATCAGGGTGTAGACTGCAAAGTCTCCCCTTATCTTCTTCATCCAGCTGTTTACCCTGTCCTGACAACGAATCATAGCTACGGGACTACTATCTTTCGGCCCAAAGTTTTGGACGGAGCGTTTGGCACCGGTGCCTGCTCGCCCTGTTTGCTGTTCCGTGGTTTGTACGACCTCCAGTCAATTACTTGCCAGCTTGTTAATTCGCAATCCGGTCCGACCTATCTTTTTCAATCTTCAGTTCACTGACATTCCCTTTTCTTCCTCCTTATTAGGATTATAAATAGCAGTCTGAAATTTCCTTTCCTTCCCCCTTATTAGGATTATAAGTAGCAGTCACTAATTTAAATCCACCTCCACACATATCTACACCATCTTAGGTAGATTATCCCTTTCTACACCACAGCCGGTGAACCCTTGTGCAACAGTTATTACAACCGCCTCTCAGAGACCCCCTAGCTACAATACAACTATTCATCGATAGCAAGAAGGAGAGGGAAGAAAGAAAAACGAAAAAAATGTCTTCCATCGATTCCGACGACAGTTTCTCATTCGATCCCGACTTAGCACGCAGATTCCGGAGTATCACTTTGGATGATACGGAAATAGAATTTGAACCAAGAAAACCTAATGCAAAAGAAAAAGCGGATATCAAACGTGGTCGCTGGGCTATCATCGAAGGTAGAATAGATACCGATGGAAGTATGCAAAAGATGTTCGAAAGCGACCGAACCGTTCCCGTCAAATTTCATCATAACCACACTCCAGACCAAAAACACCGTCTCCAGATGCGGGTTCCGATGCCTACAGATCAAAACGCCAAAGGGATGGCCACTTTTGATCTTGTGGAAGAGTCCGCTTCGGACGCTCCTGGGGCGCGCGTTTGGTATTATCCAAACCCATCCGCACCTGATACTATAATCATAACCGCAAGCTTCCGAAAATCGCCGATCGCGATCCCGGAAGGTAATAGACAATTCTCCCACGAGACCTACGACTTCATGGATCTTATACGAGCCCGGGAATCCCGTGGCGATCTCACCCGTCTCGAGTTCGTCTGTTCTCGTAATGAAGGTCTCGTCTACATCCTGGATAACTTTGCTTCTCACATCCCTGCTACGAGATCGATGAATGTCATTAAGGACGTCTACAGCTCCCATCGGCAATTCCGTGAAATCTGGTGCTCTGCTGCTAAATTGGATTACGAGTCTCTCAAATCCGCCTGGCTGAAGATCAACCTGCACGGTCTCCCGGGAAGACATGTGAAACTTAGCGAGAAAATGTACAGAGTCGTTCTCGGGTTTCCTTCTCCGAAACCAGAAGATACCAGGTTGCTGAAGATGAAGGAGGGCGAAAAGTTCAGAATAATCTGGCCATCGGCTCTTCAAGGTTCGAAAAAGGGTGATTTGAAAGGCGTGATTACTCGATTTGACGAGCAGCTCATACACTCATCCACCGACATATTTTTAGCTTTAACTTTATACGTCCCGGACCAATTGGCCCCAACCTTTCTCGTGAGCACTTCTTTTGATATTTTGCCGTCGTTCGACAAAACGTTGTTACAACGCCAGAAAGCCGCGGCTAAGATGGTACACCGACTCCAACTAGAGCCTGGGGGCGTAAGAAACCCTCAGCACGATATATTTGATACGATTCTGTTCGGTGCCCCAACAAAACCTTTTGAGAGGTCCGAGGAGGCCCTAGTCGCACAAACTCGGTGCATTCGGGCAGCGGGTTTGAATGAAAAACAAGCACAGGCGGTCATATCCTCGCTAGGCTGCCAGATGTCCTTGGTTCAGGGGCCTCCGGGGACCGGGAAGTCACGTACCGCTGTTCGCGCGGTTGAGGCTCATTTCAAGAGCGACATTGCCCACCCCGGCGCCGTTCTTGCTGGCGCCCCCTCTAATACAGCAACTGACAACCTCGTTAACAGCTGGCTCGAGCTCTCAAAAAACGACGATATCCTCCGCCATCTTTACGTCGTTAGGTTTTCCTCCTCTGACTTTTACCACCTGGAATGCCGCAGGAGATCCTCTCTCGCCTCCCGTCCCCCTCTCGCTGAAGATGAGAACAACGATAGAGGTGATGACGGGGAAGAGTGGGCGATCGAAGGCAGGTACAAAATCCGCTTCATTGAAACTGCAAGCGACGATATAAATACACGCCGCAGGGAAGTTTTGCGGTCCATCGAACGCAACAGGGCTCCCGGATCAGACCTCAGCATAGAGGACCAATACCGTCTTAAGTATGGTACCACCCAGAGAATACCCACCCCCGGTGATCACCCTCCCGGGCCGTCGTCTTTCCGCGTTAGCGATGATGACCTCTTTGAACCCACTGAAGAAAAGAATGACGAGTATTACGACAGACTATATCAAAAACTAATGAACCGATACTCACGCACTACGTACCATAATCCTGGCGGTACCAGAGAAGGAGAAGGAAGAGAAAAGCAAACGGAGAAAGAAGAAGAAGAAGAAAAAGGGGAGAGAGAGAAGGAAGAAGAAGGAGAGGAAACGGAGGAAGAAGAGAAGCCAAACTATCCCTATGAAGTGTCCTTAGCTGCAAGGATGTACGACACCGATCCTAGTTGGCTGGATCAAGTCACGGACTACCTTTCCGGTAACCTGTCAACCCAGGAAACGAAGATTTTTCATACCCAGCGAGACTTGCTACGCAAGGATGTTTTAGGGAAGGCGGACATAGTTTTTGGGACTTGTTTTGGATTGGGAGATAGGTCGGTTCGTAGCGCTGGTGGAAAACTCGTGGTGATTGATGAAGCCGGTCAGGCTTCTGAAATCGAAACCATCGTACCGATCGCAATTCCTAGTGTCCAACAAGTTATATTGTTCGGCGACCACAAGCAGTTGCCTCCAATCAACATCTATGATATTAAAATTTACACTCAATCGCTCCTCGAACGGCTAGCTACTTTGTCCTCGGAGCAGAGTTCTCGTTCGAATGCAAGGTTCCACATTCTGGAGCAGAACTACCGCTCCGTGCCTGGTATCGTTGAATTCTTCTCCGGTTTTTGGTATGAAAGTCTCCTCCAGCCAACTGCGTCCTTGGAACCCATCGCCGCTTTATCAAAGATTCCGCCGATCAGTTGGATAGAGACCACTTCCGACGAAGGAGTGTCCGAAAATGGCAGTAAATACAATCTGGGAAACCTAATGGCCATTACAGAGTTAGTCAGAGCCCTTGTCGCCAAAGATTCCACGCTCGAAAACAGGATTGCAATCATCGCCATGTACGGTGCCCAGGTAGGCCTGCTGAAGGAAAAAATTCGCGATTTTCCTGCTATCAAGGTCGGAATTGTCAACTCCTTTCAAGGGAGTGAGAGGGATATTATCATTCTCGACCTCGTCCGCGCGAGCACCGGTCCGGGCCGCATTATCGGCTTTTTAAGCGAGACCCGTCGCCTCAACGTTGCAGTATCTCGCGCACGCCTTCACCTCATCGTTGTTGGTAAAAAATCTTGGTATGCACATTCAAGCAGTTTCAACTACGGTCGAGCCAAATTCCCTGCCCTCCAAAACCTGGCTACCGCATTCCCCCATCTCTCTCTCCCTAGTCCCCCTTCGGTAGGTGGGACTAGTCAGGCGACTCACTTTGGTTTCTAGCACTTTTAATTTTTACTATTTTTTGACTTCTTGCCTGTACGTGCCCGTAGCACCAGCCGCAGTTTGTGTGGACACTTAGACTACATACCACGGTGGCCCACAAACCATGAAAACATAGTCTCGAAGGTCCCTGCCGATAACACGTAAGTACTTAGACTTAAGTAGTAATATTGAAGGGAACATACCATACTTCTTGTACTATAGGTGAACCCTGCGCCTCATACGCATGATGCGGCGGAATCCCCGCCGTATGTATCGGTGTTAAGCTAGCTAGTAAGTCGGCGTTAAGCTGGTAGCCTCAACAGTAAGTTTATCTATTGTGCTAGAATAGTCTCCGTCCCAGACGCCGGCTGGCCACAAGTGTTGCATGTTGTGGCCAGCAGCAGCGGACTTAAATGAAACCCAGGGCTCCGAGACTAGTAGGTTATATATATACACACAGGCATGCTGCTTAGAATTATTAAAGAGAAAAAAAAAAAAAAAAAAAAAAAAACTTGTTTTTAGATTTAAACAGTTCATGCAAAAGTTTGGCAAAAAAGATAATCTTATGCGGATGCATCTACTGCTGAACAACGGAGTTGAACAGCCCGATGCGGGGGTCGAACCCGCAGCCTTAAGATTTAGTTACCATAGCAACTTGTTGCTATGTGCTAAGAGTCTTACGCTCTACCGATTGAGCTAACCGGGCAATTGTTGAAACGAGGACCTTGAATGCGGTATATATCGTCGCATTGGTGGCAACAGACTGCTGGGTATCGACGGTAGATCCCACGAAATAGGAAGGTGTTCGACACAGGACAACACGGCAACACCTCTTCGCGGGTCACTGCGCAATCTCGTGACCAACTCACTGTCGACCTCTTCCCTAGTAAACTAACTCGGCCAGTAGGTACTTACCTGGCAGAGGTCACCATTAATATACCTACTGTGCCAACAAACAAAATAATATTACTACAATAATAATCAAGATATATCAAATTATTGCCATAATAATACAATATTTAACATTTAATTCATAATAACATAATATTCAGAAAAATATTTTATAAATTATTTTGATTTGAACAATATTACAATTATCCCGTTTTCTGGCACAGTAGGTAGGTAATTACAAGTATCGATAGGCTAGTATATGTCGTACCATTGAGTAGTCCCGTACCTAGTCTAGACGCCTCAAGAGAGGGAACTCACCTTCAATAAGAAATTACCTGCAAGTTATAGCACTGGTCATCGGCTCTAATCAATTGGATCGGATTTACTATAGTATTCCAATATATAATTATATAAGTATAGTACCTAGATATATGCGAGATATGCTGCTTACTTGTATTTGTTACACAACATGTTAACACCTACCAACATAACTCGACTCCATGGATCCACACCCTGTGACCTGGTTTCCTTCTTTAAGAACAGGAGTGCAACCGCGTCGTATCTGTTATAACGTTAGCCTCGCTGCACCAAGTTTTTTTTCTTGATATGTAAGTATGTATCAGTAAGTAGTACTTAAACATATAGCTATAGTGTCTTGTTCCAACATGTAGCAAGCGCAGTATTACTTTGAAGCCATGTTTTTTTATAGTACTTTGGTTGTTGCGTATACACGTGTGGGTAGGAGCACAAACTACCTAGGTACTTAGGGTAGAGCGGCCGTGGAAAACCATTAGGCTCCCTAGATTTTACATCGGATTGTTGCAATTTATGCATAACATCATGCCGACCCCTTTTAAATAACGATATTTACAACGGTACTCCAGATAATTTTCGAATATTCTAGGATTAATTTGTTTGGTGCGTGACTGGACACCGAGATAACTATGACGATCTCAGGATCAAAGGATAGCTGTCTTTCCGAGTTTAGTTGGCTTTTTTTAAAAGATGAAACCAGGGCAAACTTTTTTCAAAGATTTTTTTAACATTTTTTTAAGATTTTTTCCTGATATGACAGTACCGGATAAGGTGCATTATTGCTGCTCGAGGCGTCAGATATGTCGAAAGTGCCTGGCCAAGCATTTTCAAGCTTTTGCGGTGTGGAAAAACCACAGGGGTAGCTCTCCGCTAACCTCGGGACTCCACATCTGCACAGACCATTCTTCCCCAATACCCCTTCACAAAAACCTTGCATTCGCCAGTTCATCCTAATCCAATTTTACCAACCTATCTCGAATTCCGTGACTTTGACCGAGCCCTATAGGCCAGTCCAAATTTTTTTTCCACCGACATTATTCGCCATGATGAAGGAGTAGCACCGTTGATTGGTGACAATGGCTTATTTGGAAGTTACACGTGCGCAACGAAATGCTATTCTTGGTAGCACGGGCTGAAAGCGGGCGTTCGTCGTGTTGGTGGGACCCTTGTATGGTTGCAATGGATGCAGAGTACATTCTGCGAGTGCGAGGATTTTTTTCGCAGCTACCCTCTTTGCGTGCATGGATTCATATGGATGAGGTGATTCGACCGGGTATAACCATGTCCTGTTAGCTAATTACACAGTAAAAGCGGCGAAACGTTATTCGATATGGTAACCTTCCGATCGATCGGGAGATGTTCGCATGATGCGAGGGGACTTCAAGAGCTGATGATAGGAGTATATAAATCCTGAACCACCCTCGTTCTGACAAATTTTCTTGTCTTCTGTCTACAGTATGGAAAGTTTTTGAACTTCTAAAATACATCTCCACTACTTAGTTAATACTTAGGGCTTAAGCTCTACCTATCATACCTCCTACATTCGTTAATTGTATACATACATACGATCCTCTCGCTTCATAAATACCAACCAATATGCAGCTAACCAGCTTCATCCTCCCCATCCTTTCGCTCGCTTCTGCCCTAACCGCGAGCCCAATCCTCGAGCCTCGCGCCGGCCCCGCCTCCAACTTCTTCACAGTCACAGACTTCTACGACAGTGGCGTCCCACATTCTCTCTCCTCATACGTTTCATTCAACGTAAAGGGCCCCTGGCCCTCATTCACAGCGTACTGCACCGCTAGTTCCTCCGTCGTGCCGACTATCGCTACCGCACCTTTCCCTACAAAGTGCACCGGCAAGCCCGGTGTGGCATTCGGGCTTGAGTACAAGACGGGTGTTGGCTATGTCTTGACTATTATGCATAGATATAGATGGGATCAGACGGTTAGACTTGGTACTATCTGGGTTGGAACTGATGTTCAGACGAGAGTCAACCCTGTGAATCCTAATGGGAATGTTCAGTACCTCAACTACAGTTCGAGCTTTACTGTCCCATTCAGTGAATACACCCAAGAAAAGAAAGTCAGGTAGACAACTATTATCTTTAAATTAAAAAACAAGATGGGTCTCTAGATCAGCGGCCGAGAAGAGTTACGATTGGCTTACGTTAATTCTCCACATTCTTTTTTTCTCTTCCTCTTCTCTCATTCCTTTTAAATTTTTCTTTGGAGTTAAGAATCGTTATGGGGTTATTGTTTTTTTCTTTATGAATAATGAATCATGTTTTCAGAGCAAGTTTTGAGTCGAATATCAGGTTGGAATACACAAATCCGTACATCCATGTCCTAGTTACTGGTTAATACTTTAAAAACAATACCATTCCTTGTACAAACTATATAAAATCGACGTTTCCACCGTAGCGTGTAGCCCTACCGTATACGCGTAACATATAAGTAGGTACCGCGGATGGATCCCGTTATAACGTATATAACCTCACATCACGACCCGTACAGCAGTTACTATAAAATTATGCAATTAACTCCCACCAACTAACCTACACGCACAACAAATCGACCTCGTCGACCCGAAAAGTCTCCATCTATACAAATAATAGACTCCCCAAAGCAAAAAAAATACACCCCGATAGAACGGGGAGATAAAAAAATGTAAAAGAGAAGGTGATCAGGCGGTTACCAGGGCTCGAACCTGGGACCTCTCGCATATTGGATCTTGAAGAACCCTAAGCGAGAATTATACCACTAAACCATAACCGCTTGAGTGGAGATCACGGCAGCAGAACAGCATCCATAGCGCTTAGCGGAATAGGTCCTGCGGAGGGTCGGGAGGCTGTCTATTTGAAGTGTTATGTCTCTGTGGAAGGTGGTTCCTCCAGGTTCATGGGTTCATTCAGCGTCCGTGAAAAGGAAGCATGTTGACAGAAAATACTGCCACTGAATTGCAATGTTAGATAGCCTCCCAGGAACGAAGGATATCTGAGGGAGCTAGTATATCATTACTGGGACATAGAGAAATACATGCGTATTCAAATGATACCTCATGGCGGGCCACAAAGAACCTCTGGTTGCTCGTAGACAGCATTTGTTGCCCTCTATAACCACCTTCCTAATTCTACTAGCCGATTTGACCCTTTGCTATAGACTCGAGAAAAATTTTCGGCCACTGTTGGATTTCGAGGCGAGATGTGTTGACAAGGACGAAGGACTCATCCTTCGAATTTTGCGTCGGGTCATTTAGTTAGAAGGTTTAACAAAAGCATTCCGGGATGGATCGTCATCTGGTCGGTTGTATGGTGTAGTGGTTAGCACTCCAGATTCTGATTAGTGATTTCTGGCGACTTGGGTTCAATTCCCAATACGACCTTACCGATCTTCCTTTTTGCTCTTTTTGCCTTTGCGCTGGGTGGACCTTGTTTTTTACATTATTATTTTTTCTATTTTTTATTTTTTGCCTTGCTTTGTTTCTATTGGGTAGATTCATCTCAATGATAAGAAAGAAAAGCTGGCCATGAATCAAAGATTTCATCACTGCATCGATGGTTGGCATGGCAGAGTTGGTGATGGACCCCACACCACGTGACCCCAGCAGCCTCACGTTGACGTCACAACCACAAAACCGGGAAATGTGTTGCGACGCATCTGGAAATGTCTCGAAGCAGCCACCAGGTTCCCGTAGCTTCTACGTCAGTCTGGCTTCGTCTGGACCTCTCGCGACATCTCGACCTCGAAGGCTCAGGCCACCGGCGAGTGTAGATAAATATACCTGTTCTCGCTCGTTTCATCTTCTTCTCTTCCTTGCATTTTTACACCAAACATCAAACGAGCCTGCCGAGTGATCACGATCTCGAATTCGAACTGTCACCTGAGCATTTCTCGAACGACACGTATAAAAGCAGGTCCTCTGCCCTCGACTGTCGCACCTTACGAAGTTACGACCATAGAAAATACCCATCACCACCATCATCACGATAGTCGGTACTACTGATCACACCCTTTTAATCCTCTGATACCGACATCTCAAAATGTCCGGACCAGGCGGTCACGAATACACTGACCGGGCCTTGCAAGCCATAAAAAATGCTATCGAGCTTGCTCAACAATATTCACATGTGGAGATCCGCCCAGTAAACCTGGCGGTATCTCTCTTAACCCCTCCTCCAGATGATAGCAAACCAGGCGTCACTGATGCCGTCCCTCAGGGGCCTTCCCTCTTCCGCCAGGCCGTCGAACGCGCCAACGGCGACTTCCAAACCTTGGATCGAGAGCTGAAGAAGGCTCTCGTCCGACAACCTTCTCAGGATCCACCACCGGAAAACCCCACATTCTCCCCGACCATGTCCAAGGTTTTGCGGAAGGCACACGATCTACAGAAGCTACAGAAGGACAAGTTCATCGGCGTCGACCATTTAATTATGGGAGTCGTTGAGGACCCGAACATCCAGACTGCTCTGAAAACAGCAAATGTTCCCAACACCAAAGT